TGAGCTGGAGGGCTACACCCTGACGCCGGGGAGATGCTTCTCCTTCGGCTGCCGGTACCGGCTGGGCACGGCCTCCAACTTGGTGATGTACGTCAGCGCGGCCGACCGGCGCCTTCCTTGGCACGGCCGCGCAGACTTCTTGGTGCCGCCGGGCGGAGTCGCAAAGCTGCACTTCGGAGCCTTTGGCGGGTCGATCTCCGGGCTGGTTGCAGCAGTCGGCGGGCACGCTGGACCTGTACAGCCCGCAGATCAGGGCCAGCGCCTTCGAGGGAGAGTCGGTCTCAGTGACGGACCTGCTTTGCAGGAACGAAGTGGAAGAACCTGACGGGCACCGCCCGGTGGAGCGACGCACTGGTGCAAGGGCTTCCAGGCCCGGCTGGACGAGGTGGAAGCCTGGCGAAAAACGGTGTCCAGCTGTGTGAGCAGGCCCCCTGCATCCAGGGAACCTTGCTCAAGCTCCTTTTTGGGGCAACAAAGTTGTTTTTTTAAAATGGAGGCGCTGAGGGATTTGGCCGACGACTTCAACGTGAGGGATGCAAGGCAGCGCGACCTCGACGTGACGCCATGGGCTTCGAGGCGCTGAAGGCCGACGTGGGCCGGCAGGCGCAGGCGCCGCGGCCCCGCGCGCTGGGCAAGTCGGCCGCCGAGGCTGGCTGCAGGCTGACCTCATCGACTTCAGCCCGAACACCCGGGGAGACCAGGTACGGCCTGGTGGTGATGGACGTCTTCACTCGGGACCGCCGTGGAACCTCTGCTCAACAAGAACGCCGAGACGGTCGGCCGGGCCGCCAAGCGCGCCGCGCGCCTGCCTGCGCTCGCCCAGCCAGTTGTTGAAGGCCCGCGCCTTTTCCAGTTCTCGGTAGCGCTTCAGCAGCAGCGGCTGCAAGTTGTAACTGGGGTAAGTCTTGCGGAACCACTGGAGCATCTGCGGCTCGTTGCGGGGTTCAGTGGACATCATCTTGCTTTTACACTAGCACGCTTGCGCCTGTTGTCAACCGGTCACACGCGGACTGCCTCTCCAGCATGTGCAGGGCGGGTTGCTGCTCTCTTGTGAGCTGAGGTGGTGGGGCCTCGGCCGGCGGTGCCTCAACCGGTGGTGCCTCCGCTGGTGCCTCCGGTGTCGTCTCAATCGGAGGCTTTGGCTTGCGCTTTGGGGCAGCCGGCTCAGTAGGCACGTCCTGCTTCGGTTTGTTCTTGCTGCCAGGAGGTGTGCCCCGTCCTCCGGTGCCTCCGGCGCAACGTCCGGCGCAGCGTGTGGTGCCTCCGGCGCTCAGGCTGTTTGTTGTCTCGCTGTAGGTGGCGGTGGCAAAGTTGGAGCTGACCCAGGCGGCCAGCCGTGGGCCCGTGTAAGCGCCCTCGGGCGGCGCGGCGTCAACCCAGTAGACGGTAGCGGCCCCGGTCCGTGGACAGGAAGCTGTCGGCCAAGCGGATCTTGTAGACAGCCGGGCGTCGCTCTGCAGGTGCAGCGACTCTCCCAGGTCGACCTCAAAGTCGCTGTCCAAGCCGGCCTCTTGCGGCTGTCCACGTAGATAGTCGTCATCCTTTTCTTTAGGAAGCCGCCCGTCCGGCGGACGACGGGCGGCTGGACGGCTGCGACTGAGGCGCAGCAGGAGATGTTCTCACACTTCGCGTTGATCAGCGTAGAGCTGGCGAACAGCTTCTGGCCCAGGAAGCTGAGCGCCGCTCCCATCGGCGTCTTTTTCAAGTGCGAAGCGCTCTTCAAAGCGCTTGTAGAACATTTCATTCCTCGGCTTCAGGTAGTAGACGAAGAGGAAACTGTAAGGTTCCCGCGTCGCCTGTTCGTACAGCCGGTACAGCTGCTCCTTCGGCAGCAGGGCGCTGAGCTCCTCAATGACGGCGTCCAGCTCGTGCTGGTTGCGCAGCCTCCAGCAGCAGAGGAATTGCATGTTCACCCGCGCGGCGGCGCTGATGAGCCTCAACTTCTGGGAACTCACCCAGGCGCTGATCTGCATGTGCCGGCTTCGGATGAAGAGCGTGTCAGCAAAGTCGTCGACGACTACAAGCACCTGGTACAGTTTCTTCATTTCCAACTTTTTGGACGCCTGCGTGATCTTGCGCTGCTGCTGGATGATGCGCCGCAGCGCCGCCTCGTCCCACTCGTCCCAGTAGGTCTGCTCCCGCTCCGTGTTCACCCCCAGCTCCTCCTCGATGTACTTCTTGACGGGAATCCAGCCGTCGTCGATGTTAACGCTCGGGCTGAAGATGCAAATTCTCTCAAAGACGCCGCGATACTGCCCACGGTTTTGCCCGATTTGGATGGCCCGAGGAAAATGCCCGTGCATGGCGCCAGGGGCACCACGGGGTCCGAGGGCTGCTTACTGGTATACTCTGTCGTAGGAAACAGCTTGATCTTCCCCATTCCTTTGCGTTACTTCCCAAATTTGAAGCCGGGAAGCCGGGCGGCGAGACCGGGAGATAGCTACTATTCAACAGGCCTCTCCCAGAGTTTTCCGGGATAAAGCTAAAGGCCGGCACGCGTGTGAAGAGTGCACCGGGGCAATCCTGTTGCCAACGCAGGATTGAGTGGAGCAATCCTGTTGTCAACGCAGGATTGAGTGGAGCAATCCTGTTGTCAACGTAAGATTGAGTGGAGCAATCCTGTTGTGAACGCAGGATTGTGAGTGGAGCAATCCTGTTGTCAACGCAGGATTGACGGCAAAGCGAGTAATGGTGAAAAAAACACTCCATCAGCGATGCGGCGAGGACCGCATCGCTGACGGACCTTCGGCGCTGGCCCGGTGATGGGTTTTTCGGGCAAAATACCGAAGTCGGAATTCCGACCTTGGGTGGCGCGGGCTCGCGGGCTCGGCAGGCTGGCTCCGATGCCGGGCAGGTGGCGCGGCCGGGTGGCCTTGATGCCGGGCCTGGGGGGCTCTTATAAACCTATAGGAACCTATAGGAACCCTGTAGGAAATCCATAGGAAACCCATAGGAAGTCCATAAGAAAACTCCAAGCTCCCCGGCCGGGTGAGGCTTCTATGCCGGGCAGGTGGCGCGGCAGGGTGGCGCAGTGCCTAGCCGCCGTATGACCGCATGACCGTATGATCCGTATGATCCGTATGACCCGGGCAGGTGGTGCGGCCGGGTGGAGGCTTCGATGCCAGGCAGGTGGCGCGGCAAGGCATGTTCCCTTTCGGATTGAAGCAGTGATCAAGATTCTAACGTTTAGGGTTTTATTTTCCCTTATGTTTTAATCTTGATCAAATCTTTGGACGCGTGGCCGTTTTCTGCTTCAAGCGTGAGGGTACCTCTCGCTTTTTGGTGCCCACCCTCCCACCCTGTCAACACTCAGGTGAACCTGCCTGGGCCCAGCCGCAGCTGGGGCCCCAGAGGTACGGTGTGCACCATGACCTTTCTGCAGAGGTCACAAAATTTAGTTCAGCACCGTGAGACGCATCTCGCGCCAACGACAGCATGCAATATTTCCGCCAGGGCCCTGCAGCCGCTGCCGCCCGAAGGGCTTGAACACAACCAGCACCGCATGCTGTAGATACTGCCAGGCCTCAGCCTGGCACCCATTGCACATTAGCCGGATGCATGCATTGCATCCAGCCGCCATATGACTGTTTCGACTTGTCTCAACCTGGCACCGCGTGCCGCATTGCACGCCAGCCGATGCACGCATTGCATCCGGCCGCCATCAATGTCTTCGATTGTTTCACGCCTCACAGGTAACACTCTTGGTGCCTGGTCGAACACGCATTGTTGACCACGGGGGCATATGAGGAGGCTCCGCAGAGGGGTGCAGATACGGGGAAAGGACACGCGATGTCTTTCCCCCTGCACCTCTGAGCCTCAACTTCCAAGCAACGCCTTGTAAAGAAAAAGGGCGTGCGCACATGTTTGTCGGTCGCCCCCTGTTGTCTTGGAGTGCATGTTCCCTTTTGGATTGAAGCAGGAATCAAGATTCTAACTTTTGCCGCGTGTTCCCTTTCGGATTGAAGCAGTGATCAAGATTCTAACGGTTCCGAAATTAACAGATTGTCATCCGTAGCTGCCATGGCGGGGCACCGTTCCAGGGACGTTTCCGACCAGGGTGTGTCACCCTTAATCTCCTTGTCTTCTGTTCGATAGTGGAGACTCCGTGCTTGCAGTTTTGGTTCTGTTGAGTTTTTAAGCGCACCCGCCTTCTGCATCGCATGCTTTCGGGTGATCTGGTCGGCGTGCAACGACATACCCTAAAATGTTGGGAGCAGAAATGCCAACCCAGCAGTTTGATCCATAAAGCCTGGAACATCGCGCTGCAAGCAAACAAGCGGAAACAAATGCATTTGCGCTATGCAAAGTCCGAAGCACTGCGGTTTGTCGCTTATTCAGCAGTTTGCGTGCCGAAAAACACAGGTCGCAGCTTGTACGTTGCGTCTGAGCCTCCAGGCAGCTTTTGCTCCTACCCTCCGCCCACTCTGATCATCTCGCTCTCATAGGGTCGAGCAGTTCACTGCACTCTGAGGCCTGCAACGCCTTAGGAGTCTCCGATGGAGTCCGTTGCTGCGCCTCACCAGTCAGATGCCGTCAGGCTGTTGTGCAGCTGCCTGCATGGTAGGCTCGCAGCGACCTCTTTTTATGTGGCCGCATTGTCCAGCCTCCGTGTTTTGCAGTTACAATTGTGGGCTCTGTGTCAGGTAAATCAGGTAGTTGGTGGTTTGGATTGGTGGCTTGGATTTGGATTTGGATGTGAACCCCAGTTCTTGAAACCAAAAGGAAGGAAAACTGATTGCAGAATGTTGTCCAGTTCTTCTTTCCCCTACTGCCTTCCCCCTTTCCTCGCCCACCTTTCCAAACCGGTTTTTTGGGTTGGTAGTTGGAACTGGGCGCACAGCGCGGTGGCAGGTCAGTGCACGGTTTGCTTCCAGTTTCCGCAGCTCTGTGCATGTAGCAGCCCCAGTTTTCAGTGTTCCATGGCATCGCAACGTGCGTCACGTTCAATCAGCGTGGAAAACACTTCGCACACGTTGCTCGCTCGCCCAGAAGTCTGACCCAAATTGTTTGGTGATTCCGCCTTCCAGAATGCAATGGATGTCCAAACCTGGGCTTGTCATAGAGGCGGGGAGAGCGAAGGGGGTCCTTGAGACCGTGCATTGTTTTTGCGGCCGGTTGTTGGGCGTTCATCCTTCCCAAATGGGATCGACATACTGTGGATGGACGAAATCCTGCACCGCCCAAGAAACCCTAGAATGATTCGATTCCCCTGTAAATTCCAACAACGTGATGGTTTCATTCCCATGGTTTCATTTCGTGGTGCGAAGCGGATTTCGCAACCATCCACAGTATGACCCATGCCCACATGATCTTGCAAGTGTCATCCGCAAACTTTGCCAAAAAGGTTGGCCTCGTATGGTTCAAAATGTGCTTATGCCATTTCTGAATACCTGGAGTCTCCATGCCCCTTTAAAAGTAGGTCCATGACCCCATTATTTAGGGTAATGACCAGCCATTTCGGGTTATGCCCCATGGCCATTTGGGTTTGTCTCAAAAAATGTGCGGCGAGGACTCCGTGCTCTCCTCCAGCAGCAAAGCTTGGCGCGGCACGAGCCTGGACCAGCAGATTCTACCTGGAGCTGAAGGCTGCAAACCAGTTTTGGGTTCATTTTGGTGGGCTCAGGGTTGGTTTTGGCTGGTTTTGGGTTCTTTGGTGGGTTCAGGGTTGGTCTTGGTTGGATTTGGGTTCGTTTTGGTGGGTTCAGGGTCTTGGTTGGTTTTGGGTTCGTTTTGGTGGGTTCAGGGTTGGGTTGTGGGTTCAGGGTTGATTTTGGCTGGTTTTGGGTTCGTTTTGGTGGGTTCAGGGTTGGTCTTGGTTGGTTTTGGGTTCGTTTTGGTGGGTTCAGGGTTGGTTGCTGGGTTTGGGTTCATTTTGGTGGGTTCAGGGTTGGTTTTGGTTGGTTTTGGGTTCGTTTTGGTGGGTTCAGGGTCTGGTTTTGGGTTTGTTTTGTGGGTTCAGGGTTGGTTGGTTTTGGTTGGTTTTGGGTTCGTTTTGGCGGGTTCAGGGTTGGTTTTGGCTGGTTTTTGGGATCCCCCGCTAAAAGTTTGACTTGTGGGTTAAATACACAAACCCAACCACTAAACCAACTAAAAGCAACTAAAAACTCCTGAGGAACTGGACGGCTAAGTCTGCTGGCTAGTGCTTGGAAGCCTCCAATTTCCTGATTTGCTCGTTCGTTTGGTAAAATGGCCATGCTCCGGCCTCGACCAATAAAGATCCAAATGTGACTAACTTCTGGGTGAAATTCGTGGGTAGGGTTGGTTTTGGCTGGTTTTGGGTTCGTTTTGGTGGGTTCAGGGTTGGTCTTGGTTGGTTTTGGGTTCGTTTTGGTGGATTCAGGGTCTGGTTTTGGGTTTGTTTTGTGGGTTCAGGGTTGGTTTTGGCTGGTTCGTTTTGCGCGTTCAGGGTTGGTTTTGGCTGGTTTTGTTTTGGGTTCGTTTTGGGTTATTTTTGTGGGCTCAGGGTCGGTTTTGGTCGGTTTTGGGTTGTTCAGGGGTTGGTATTTGGCTGGTTCGTTTTGTGCGTTCAGGGTTGGTTTTGGCTGGTTCTGTTTTGGGTTCGTTTTGGGTTATTTTTGTGGGCTCAGGGTCGGTTTTGGTCGGTTTTGGGTTGTTCAGGGGTTGGTATTTGGCTGGTTTTGTTCTTGTTTTTCTTGCTTTTAGTTTCATTTAGCTGCGCAAGGCAGGTTGGATGGTTTAATGATGGCTTGGTGCGGGTTTAGTGTTTTGGACACAAGCTGCGCGCAACCTGCAAAACGGTTGCCCCTTGCTGTGTGGAGCAGGTTTTGTGGAGGATTCATTGGACGGCCACGACATTCATTGCTCAGTTTCCCTGCAATTTGTGGAACAGGGGTTCAACCCCCCGCCAACCTGTATCTTAACCCATTGCATCTGGAGAAACAGTCTGTGGATGAAACACAGGATGATCCAGGAAACGACATACTTCCCTACGGATGGCACGCACACATTGCTCTTCCGTTTCTTCCGAGATTGTCTTGCGTTCAGAATTCGACCTCGAGCTGAAGCCACCGTTTGCTTGGCCAATCTTCTCATTTTCTTTGCTCAGCGGCTTGAGGGCGGGGGGTGAAGTGGCGGAGCCACACCGCGAGGTGGTTTCTCCGTGTCAGTGCTGGGGGGTTTGGTGCGCCTCGGGGTGGTGAAGCTTGACGCGGAGTCGGACAACTTGGGCACCGACGTCCACAGCTTCGGCTTTGGAGGGACGGGGAAGACGCTGGGTTTCAAGAGACTTTGGGATGGCAAGCACCGGTAATATGACAGGATTTGAGCTTTATTTTGTTGGTTTCTAGAGCTGGAGGTAATGATCGATAGGGATAGTTGGGGAGACACCTCACCCGGAAAACCAGCTTTAATGCAGACACCCAGTCAGGTGGCTCAGATACCCCTGACATTCTTATGCCCCCATGAACTGATTGCATGGCCCATGCAGTTGGGCTCGCCATTGATTTCACCTCACATGTGCTCGCAGACGCAGCCACTGCCTCCAAACAAAAACAAGAACAACCCTGTTTTTAAACTGTGGCAAACTTCAGGTTTGCCCTTGTCCCCTGGTGTGAACAACAAGCTCAACGTGTTCCTTACGAAATCATTTCGCGCCACCTAAGAAACCCAGCGGAATGATTCAAAATACCAACAAACAATGGTTTCAACACGTTTCAACTCTGGCTTCCAAGTGGTGCGAAATGGATTTCGCCCATCCGCGGAATTTCGGGCATCCACGGTATTGATCGGATGCGTTTTAGCGTGGGCACTTTGAGAAACTTGGGCCGATGCCGAGGAAATCCCACGCTGGCGTGTTCGAAGACTATGGAGCCACTTGGCGGCAGGCGCTTGTATTTTCATTTCCTGAAGGGCAGTCTGTGCTGAACCATCTGGAGCCATCAGTGCCTATTTTATAGCGAGCTCACCTGAAAGTATAACGAGCTCACCATGACAAAGGTCCTTTACTTCGGACTCCCTGCATTCAGCGTTTGGAATCATAGTAAAATTTGTAGTGGCAGTGATTGTCTTGCAACTGTTTGACTCCTGGTCAATCACATTGACTGAAAGCGTGCAGCCAGGTAGGACCCATCAGGAGCCCAAGGGAACCGGAGCCACGAAGCCGGAATCTGGGGTCTTGACATCAACATCGGAGCGAATTGAAGCGAGTTGTGCAGAAAGAAAGTGCCCATCAATTCTCTGGAGCCACCAAAGATCCGAAAGTCTCCCACGCATTGGACGAATTTGGCTCAACCAGACCCACAGACCGCTAAGAGCATGTTTCTGCAGTGCCTCAAATATGGGGGTGGCTTCTACCAAAGACTTTTATGAGACTTTTGCTAGAAACGTTTGAGATTGGCAATTGGGGAAAGTGGCAAGCCTTTGCCAAACCCCCGCCCTTCCCATGAGAACCTCTCTGCGCGTGAACTTGATATCCGCTCGGAGCCCGAGCAAATCCCCACGACCGAAGGGAGGAGTGGGAAAGAGAGTGAAGAAATGCCATTCCTTCCCTACCACTTCCCTGTCTCGTCCCTTGACAGTGTGTGTTAGGAATGGAATGAGAGAGTGAGGACGTGATGAAGGCGCTCATCCCTTCGCTCTTCATCCCTCACTCTTTTTCTTCTCTTGTCCTTTCCCCAGCTTTTACACGGATATCGGAGCCGATATCGGAGCCGAGGAGCCCTTCGGCGTCGGGGACCGCTTGGACTGCCGCGTGGATCGCTCGGAGGGCTTGCGGCTGAGCTTCGCGAAGAACGGGCGCGACCTGGGGGCGGCCTATGACCTCAAGGCTCGGGGACGGGGTGCCACCTTTGGGCTTGCACTGTTTGACTACCCCAAGGTAGACCTAAACCCAGGGATGCTTGAAGTCACCCAGAAGGGCATCCCGGGTTTAAGTCTGCCTTGGGATACTTAAAGGGGCATTGTACTTAGAAAGTGTTAAACAGCATGGTTATAAGGTTATAACCATGGTTACTAACCACTCAGTATGTACTTATCACCATGGATTCTAACCACTTACAAGATTTTCTTGCAGCTGAAAATAGGGCTCGGAGCCTGAAAGAAATGATTCGTTGGCGATGCGCTGCAAGTCTTGGAAGTGGGTGACATCAAATGCGGGGTTCTCATTCGAGTATGTTTGGTCCAGCACAAGTGGAAACCGCCCATCAGGGCTCTCCGATTTGGAAAAGTCGGCATCCGTAAAACGGGTCGCGGCCTGTGGATCGCATCGGAAGCCGGTCGCCTCCGTGGCTCGTTTTGGGAGCGGCCCTTTTGGCTTGGGGAAGCCAACAGGCAAGCCGGACATGGCCATTTTGGAGGGCCAAGAAAAAGGAGGCGCACTGAAAAGTGGCCCCAATGCGAGAAATGGGCACAGGGATGAATATCTGGCGGATTCCGTCTGATCGCATTCCCGTATGGGATGGAACATCACATCCCTGGAACCCAGCAGTAAATCCAGTGCCCAACCTGGAGACACTAAGCAAGCTAGCCTGTCGATCTCCCAAGACCCAAGCGAGTCACTTGCTCAAAAACGTTTCGGCTAGATCCTTCAAGGTTAAGATGGTCCCAACAAAAAGAGGCGCGGCGTAGACCATTTTGATGACCGATTGGTTTTTGATTGTCATTCCCTTGAAACACGTATTTAAGCCACTGTTTAACAGGATTTCGTGTAGACCATTTTGATGACCGATCGGTTTTTGATTGTTACCCCCTTGCAACATGTTTAAACCACGTTATCAGGATTTCCTGCATTTACCTTTCAAGAAAACCTCCGAAAGTGGCGATTGTTTTGCTATGGAAAGCACACATACCTTTCAAGAAAACCTCCGAAAGTGGCGATTGTTTTGCTATGGAAAGCACACACATGATATCAACTTTTGATTTGGGGAATTCTATGGGCCAGGTTCGCCCGCTGTTTTTATATCAGTTAGGTGAGAATTTTCGGCACCAGTTGGGAGGCTTTTCCACAACCAGTCTTTTTCGTGAATTAGGGCACCCTATTTCTAATCGTGGAAGTAAACACTCCTCTTGGTGATCGTTTCCGTGGCCCAGTACATGGATTAAGTTTTGATTGGGCGGGAAATCCAGGTTCGACTCCTGTTCTCTCTTTGGCAGCTCCTGTTTTTCGAACTGATTCGGTTTCTCCGGAGAGTTCCCCGAACGGATGCAAGAAAAGTGTGACGGTTTTGGCATTTTTTCTTGCTGGTTCTTGCAGGGAACGAGGGAACGATCCCTGTAAACCATGCCCCTGGTTTCCTTGATTCGGGAATCCCAAACGGTTCATTCAGCCAACTCCCGGACTCAGACAGTCATTCCCTACCTACCGCACCGGCAAGTAATGGCTCTTCATTTGCCCCCTGTGCTTTGCCTCCTTTGGGTCCGAAGTTGAACGCCCGGATCGCCCGGATCGCCAGTCGCACAGCGCCTGAAATGGATCGGCTTCGTCTCCAGGCGGACCAAATCCCCGGGCCGCTCCGCGCGGCCGCTCTGGCGCCGGCGCTCTGCGGCCGCGCCTTCCGCGTGGCACTCCGCGGCGGAAGCGGAAGCGGCGCAAGCGAGGAGCGGGAGACGGCGCTGAGGTACTACAGCCTGCGGTGGGCCAAGGCGCGGGAATAGGTGGAAGAGGTGCACATGTATCTATGTATATATATATATATATGGTCACCTGTATATGCATTGTCTCTGAGTCTCTCTATCACATATGTATGTAATATGTAGATCTCTCTTTGTATAGGTACGTGTATATGTATAAGTATGTACATGTATGCACATATATATATATATATATATATATACAAATATGTATCCACATACAATATGATGTTTCTTGTGTTTCCTTTTTTGGGCTGAAGTTTCAAATCTCCCATGCATTGATTTTGTATCCCACCGATTTCTGGGTACTTGGAGGCATGCATGGAGATTTGGGCCCACTTTGCCATTTTCCCCCATGTTGATCCCAGGTGTTCATTGACCGACATGTCAACCATGATTTTTCTTTTTTTTACTGCAGCCCTGTCAGGCCAGGCCAGCACGAGCACTGGCACAGGTGCGGGTAGATGCAGAGCGACCTCCGGTACCTTGGCTCCGAGTGAGTTGTTGCCCCTCCAG